CATCATTCAGCCTCTTCTCCTTACACAGTCCCCACACCTCCTTCCCCGCGATGAACACCCACTGCACCACCCCCGGGATCCACAGCGCGGTGCGGCGATACCCTAATTCGGAGTCCTCGATTGCGGGCTCGAGGGCCTGGCGGAAGTGTGAGAGCGCGATATTGAGGGCGGAGAGGTATTCGCGGGTTGCTGGGGGGGAGGCACTGGTCTTGGGGAGGTGGGTAAGGTAGGAAGCTTGGAAGGAGGCGCTGTTTTGGAGGCGGCGGGGCCAGTTGTTTAGTGGGGTGGAGGGTGGGAGGGTGTCGATTGGGGGGATGCCTGGGGTTGTTAATGAAATTACTTTTGATATTTTTGAATTTTGTGAAGGGAAGAGGGGGTATTAGGGGGTATAAGGGGGGAAGACTTACAAGTCATCTCATCCCTAAACGCAAGAGAGTACCCCGGTAATTGCGTCCAAAACACATCCGAATTCAAACTACTCTCCACCACCTTCCCATCCTCCCCTTTCACCTCGATCTTCGCCAGGCTCATAAGTAACGCCACGAGTCTCTCTCGCGTCGACTCGTCTCCGCCGAAGAAATCTACGGCGCTGCAGAAGACTTTCCATATCCCCTCTGGTGCGGAGACGTCGCCGGATAGTATGCGTGCTGTGCAGATTAATGCTAATGCTGTCGCTGCGGTTTCTGAAGAGGTTGTGGGGGAGGAGAGGTAGGAGGTGAGGATGGGGATTGCGAGGGCTGACTCGTGGGTTTGGAGTTTGCTTTGGGGGGTGGTGTATTGATCTGTGTCGGAGAAGGAGGTTTGGGTTGTTTGGAGGCTGTGGGAGGGCCAGTCTTGGAGGGACATGTTGGGGGGTGTTGTGTTTGTGTTTGTGTTTGATAGGTGAGAGGATATATCTGGAAGGTGGAAGGAAAAGTAAAAGTGAAAGTGAATTTATCTCCTTGCGAAGTGAAAGATTCAAGGTGAATGAGATGAGATGAGAAGGCACGTTGACAGTTTTGAGGTACGGTAGAAATAAATTTATATTCAAGGAACCAACTAGTTTACAACAGATCGGATTTATCTTACACACATACATATGCGATGACGAAACTGGTTCAAAAATAAACTACACGCCGCAGATCTTACTGCAGCCGGGTTACTTGTACAACAAAGTACCTATGTACGTACATAGAGGCGCAGCAAGATCACCAGGTGAGAGGATTTGAGTCGTGCTGACATAAGCTTGAAACAAGTAGGTAACTCGTACCTCTGACAGGATTCGGAGGATTTTAAAGGATGTGGCTGATCATCTTAATTTTTAAATTTACCGCTGGAAATCCTTTGGGAATTTAAGGTTTGTGACCTGCGATTGGAGGGATTGGGTGATGCTTTATGAAATGGAATGGCTCTTTGGTGTTTGGTGTGATGTAGGTATTTTACACTTACTCTTTTTTTCTCTCTAGTGAAATAAGTATGTGTATTCAAATGTTGGAAGATGAGATCTATTGGAATTTAGACCTCGCTTATACCGTATCAATGTAACTGGTGTTAAAGTGGTTTAGGCATAGTAGAGTAAAAGAATACGTTACGTTGCTTCTACTGTAAGAATCCTTCCCTGGCTCGGTTATGTAAACATTTCTCTTCTGTTACGAACGAAAACTCTTATGATCGATCCTTTCACGTGGATTTTAAGTTTAAGGATTGGGAAGGTACCCATAGAAGGATGGGTTGATCAACCTTCTTATGATCAATCTATGATATGCTTATACTCGTATGTTTTATGTTTATTTACAACGTATAGTACAGTCCATACTCGAGTACTTCATTTCTATATATAGAATCGTCAATTATGGAGGTACTGCTCTGCTCGCTTACATGGTACCCTCAGCCACTACTACAGCAAATGTACGTTATGTCACGATATCAAATGAAGGGATCAGCTCTAATTCCGCGCCGCAACAAATCTCCTCTAGATTCTGAACTGGGGATATACTAATATAAAGACTCGAGACCTCTACCGATTCCCATTTTGAATATCCATCATTCAATCATTCTTCTTCACATAGCACCTCTTCACTTCACTTCAAAACCACAGCAACACTTCTTTCATTATAAACCTTTCTCTCTTTTTTTAAAATCTTCAACTTAGGAAAACCATCACCATGCAGTTCTCCAGCCTCCTCCTCGCATTCGTCGCAGCCAACATCTCCTTGGCAATCCCAATCGAGAGCTCCAATGCCGTCGCTGGTAGAGAAGTCCTCAAAGTCCTCGAAGCAAGAGCTGGAGGATCAGTCGTGGATACTACTTGCACAGGAGGTTCGTTCCTCCTTCATCCCATTCCCCAATTCCCAACCCACAATCTCAATATCTTGCTTCTCAGTACTGACAGCCCCCAGCCTCCGCAACAGATTCCAAAGACTGGACTTCCTCGGAAGTCAAGAGTTCCTACAATGCTGGAAAGGGGAATGTGGATAAGAAGACGGGAGCTATTGAAGCTGGCAGTGCGTATTTCCAATTTTCGGAAGGAGTTCTCCTCGCTAATCTTCTTGCGAACATAGGCGCAGTAAAGAATTACGGCAATAACGCTGTTGCCGTCCTCCCCGCTATGCCCACTTCCTGCAAGACTGCTTCGAAGTTGTATGAGTACAGACTTAAGGGCAGCAACACCGATCGTGTGATCTGGGGATGGAGCAAGCCTGCCAAGGCTGGGGGTAATGGAAGTTCGTTCTTCTGGTAAGTTATTATTTTTGGAAGTTTCTAGGAGATGATACGGATCTTTTGGGATTCTGGGTACTTTGAGAAGAGGAAAGACTGATGGTTGAGTAGTTTGGTTATTACCCACAGAGGCAAGGCGGACAATGATTTCAAGCCTTGTACTAAGACTGTGGAGAAGAAGGAGGAGAAGAAGGATTGAGTTGTTAGGAGTAGTGAGTGAGTGATTAGTTGTGTGGTGGAGCTTCAGGGTAGATTGCATTCGATGGGGCATTGGGATGGATTGCATTTGTTTTATTCTTCTTTTTCTTTTTCTTCTTCTTTTTAGGGGGTTGTTGGTATTTCTCTCAAAGTTAGTGAAAAATCTTTGCGGAGTATGTTTTGTTTTATATATTGAATATGTGATGTTCGTTGTTATTGAGAAGTATAGACTTGGTTTGGAACTCGTCAGTGATGTAGATGGTCAACAAATTTACTGTGTTAGGTTTGGTTGTAACATAGGTTCTCGTAAATCACCTCCCAGATGCCCCGAGGGTGCTGTTTATGAGCGCCACTGAAAATTATTGAAAGTCGATTTCATATAACGAAATATTTGCCGAATCTTCTCTTTCGAACGAGAACTGGGAACGAAAGGGAGAATATCTGAGAGTGGGGGTATGGGGTATGTACATAGTGGTACAACATATGTGGAGCTTGCCTTTTGCGATTGGAGTTGTTGGAGGTCCGTAGAATCAGAATGACTTATTTGGACGATCAGGTAACCCTGAGAGTAGCTTTACTTGCGTTTAATGGTTGCATCAGTCTTTTTGGAAGAAAAACGTAGGCTTTAGGAGATACTTCGGATAGATGAACCCAACAATGAGTACTGCAACACTCGTCTCGTTTAAATCCGCAAATCACCAACCGACAAAACCATGCTCCACTGTGGACCAGTTGGTTGTAAGGATGTTGGTCTTACAGATATCGATTTAAAGGACTTCGACACTCCCCCTCACTATTTTTCCTTTCTACTTTCTATCACTCGCCCTGATTTTTCCCCTCTCAGCAAAGATGCACCCTTTCGAAAAACCTACCAAGACTCGATAGACTCAGGCGTCCTAGCAGGCGTTACTCTCGCCGCACAAAATCGTGATGGTATATAAACCAAACAACTTCCCGATCCCAATAACTCTACATGTTACTGACAACAATCAGGAACCTTCAAATATAACAAGTGGTTGGGCGTAAGATCTTTGAGAGCGGGAAGCGAGGACTTACCAATGCAGTCCGATACCATCCCTTGGATTGCGTCTTGTACCAAGCTCATGACTGCGATCTCCGCTCTTCAATGTGTAGAGCGTGGGTTGATCGGATTAGATGAAGATATCGAGACGGTCCTTCCGGAGGTTGGGAAGTTTGGTGTTTTGACTGGATTAGATGATGCTGGCGAGCCGGTTTTGGTTCCGAAGGAGGGGAAGATTACGATTCGGTATGTACTTGAAATGCGTGTTTAAATATGGGAGGAGTAAAACATTAATGTGAGCAGTAAATTGATGTGCCACACCTCGGGGTATACATACGATCTCATGGACCCCAATCTAACGCAATGGCGTAAGACTCAGGGAACCGTGGCAAGGTGAGACTATCGAGGAGAAATGTACGATGCCGACTATTTTTCAGCCAGGGAGTAGTTGGATATACGGAGCAGGAGTTGACATAAGTTGCTTTTTTCACCCACCAATACTCCCCAAGGACTGAAACTTTGGAAGGAGAATTTCTGAAATACTAACTTGCAGTTTACAGTGGGTTGGAAAGCTCATTGAGCGTGTGAGCGGCGAAACACTAGAGGTGTACATGGCAAAACACATCTGGAATCCGCTTAATATCAAAGATATCACCTTTTTCCCAAACCGAAACCCGGATTTGAAGGATAGAATGGCTCATATAAGTTCTCTTGATCCATCAGGTGGGAAGTCCTTCCCGGTACCCGACGATTTCGATATGAACGCTGGATGTAAAGAGTGCATGGGTGGTGGTGGAGCCTATACAAGTGCTAACACTTATATGCAACTTCTCGTCGCAGTTCTAAACTCGGATCCCAAGTTATTGGCCCCTGAAAGCTGGAAAGAGTTCTTCAAACCACAACTTGAGCAACAGCAGGTGGAAGCGATGCAAACTGTGATGAGTAGTCAGGAGCTCGGAAGCTTCTACAGGATGTATATTCCAACGACCGCCAAGAAGAACTGGAGTTTTGGGGGCTTGTTGTTGGAGGAGGGATGTGAGGGGATGAGTGGAGGGACGATGTTGTGGGGTGGTGTACCTTGTGTTACTTGGGTATGTTGAAGAGCAAATCTCTTTCCAATCCAGTCATCTCCGGTTATTATGTTATGCTGACGACCGTGTTAGTTTGTTGATCGGGAAGCCGGGGTTTGTGGGTTTGCGGGGACGCAGATGGTTCCTCCTATGGCGCCGACGATTGTAGGGCTACATGGAAACTTTCATCATGAGATTTTGGGTATTGCAAAGGAGTAAAGAGATTCTTGGGGGGCTATTTTAATTTATTTTGAGGTTGATTTGAGGGAGGGCTGTTCTGGGTGTCATTGGCCTTAGAAGTCACATTGTATCTATCAGTATCAAAAATTCACTTGCCTACTCGCTTAGGGCCTATTCAAGCACACCTTTAGCGCCATCCACCCTATACCTAACCTATCTTTGCCCATCATCCTCCATAGAACATCACTCAAACAAAAAAGATCAAAAGAAGATCAAGAAACAAAAGAGCAAAAGTCCAAGCCCCTTTCGACCCTATATTGATGGGGAAGGTTTCTGCCTTTAGAAAATCCCAGGGATAGGGGTTGGGACTTTTGAAGTTAACATGATTTACGCGGATGTGTCGCGCCCACATCGGTACTCAACTACATTTGCTAATCCTGAGCACGGTGTGAAATGCTTTGGGTTGTGTCACTTGTGTATTTGAAGATGTTTTCAGTGTTGCCAATGGATGGTTATTAATAGATGGATAACCGAACAAATAGCTTATTGGCGGTTCGGTTCTTGATATTTTAGTAAACTGTTTAAAATTAGTGGTTTAGTTATAGATTTATATAACCGGTTAGTTAACTTAACGGTTCTTAATAGTTTAATATTTTGCTTAGTAAGCATACTTAGTCATTATACACGTGACAGATTTGATGCTATTCTAACATTCCGAGGAATTCGCGACCGCGCTGTAACGAATACTCAAACTGGCTAACTAAACTTGGCTGTGTGTTCGCTGGTTGGTATGCTATGATAAGAAGAAGACTATCGGGTTGTTCACTTGGAAGTGAACTCGTTACTTGTATCAAAGATGTCAAACTAATATGATAAAATTGATAACTAAGTTGAGCACGAAGCTCCTATCTAATGGCAGACGTGCCAGTCTTATATAGAACCTTCGTGTTCCTGAAGTCGACTTCTCGACCAGGCGAGAAGTCGACCTGCATATATCACGTGACTTATATACAAAGAAATCCCTGGATTGCTTAACTAACCTAAGCGATCCCTTTTTGCTATAAGAGCCATGATGTGTTTGTCCTGTCAGAACCCCGTCTGGACTGACTCCTCACATGCTAGCACGTGATTTGTGACATTACGATCCTTGTAACTTATAGGTTATACTAAAAGTAGTAGTTATAATAAGTCGGACAACTTAGGTAGAGTAGGATTCTAGGACTTCTTAGACTTCTTTTTAGAAGCTATTTTAGATATATATATATATATTATAATACAAAAGATAAAAGAGTTAAAGGAAAGAAAAAGAAGGGAAAGGGATAATCTTTTGAATAAGTACTTAATTTAGTAGGTAGAGCTAACTAATTTATAGTAGTAGACTAACTAGATTATAGTAGTAGACTAAATATTAGATATATATATATCGACGGATTTCTAACGAAGTAAAAAAAAAATTTATAGTAAGCTAAATAATAGTATATATATTTCGTTAGAATAGCATAAATTATGTATAAATCAAGAAACTTTTGTATAAGCCCTTAGGTCCTAGGACTAGTGCAAAAGTTTATAATTTGTACTAACATTTGTACTATTCCCACTCGCGAGCCAAACATGCTCTTAGATACGAATATGTAAAAAGTGTGGCGGCGTCGTAGGCTTACTAGAACGATTGTGAAATAAAGGCACACAGGAATCCTTAATAAATCATTGTCCCACTCCCACTTGATGGTTGGCAGAAACATATCAGAAGCCGCTATTTTCCGTCATATATCCGATTCCTCTTTCTCACACAGAAGCCTTCTCTAGATTATCCTCTCACACAAAGAAAAAGATAGTAACCGAAATGTTTTCCCCAACAACTTTCTTGGGTGCTTTCGCGGCCACCGTTGCTATCGTTACAGCGGAATTCATTTCAAAGTGCGAAACTCCAGTCCTAGAAACGGGGTTTGCCAATCGAGGCATTATGACAGCTCAGTGCATGAACGATAACGGCCACTACATCGTCACCTCCATAGACCTCAACGCCTGTCTCAATAACTACCAAGGAAAGCTTTATATGGGTCCATTGAGCGTTAAATCTTTTTGTGCCTGCTGACTGTCTTTCTTAGTGTGGAGGGTAAATGATACTGTTCTATCTAAGCAGAAAGTCCCTCTGGGGTGATCTTAATTTGTGAAAAGAAGCGGAGCCATGGATAGTTGTAATCCTGCCTCAAATCCATGCCACTTATCCAGCTCGATTTTATCGGTTTTACAATGTAATTGTGGCAACGGGCCAACAGAAATCAATCTTAGTAAGATAGACCCAGAATGTGAAAGCTTCATGAAAAGGTCGAACCTGGCTAACTATATTGTTCAGATTCATGTCTCCACCTTGAACACGGAGTTTTAAAATGTGGGGAGAAATGACAGGCTTATGGGAATTGAGGATGTACAAAATATACTTCTTATGAAAGATTCGACGTTATTATGGATTTCATACGCAGTTCTGGGCAGTCAAGGAGGAACGAATTTCATTCACCTCACTCGAGTTCATCATTTCGCTCCAATTTTGGAGATAGACCAAAACGCACATGGCGTCTACCCCAATGTGGCCATATACTCAGCAGCCTTAGAAGCCCATCCTCTAGACACCTCATTGAGATCATCTCTCAACTTCAATTCCTGAATTCATTTGCCAGAATTTCCACCTCTCACTATTTAGTCCACCAGGCCCCTCATATTGGGTCACCTCACCCTCGATCACCCGATACATGTTATTTTGGCTCACCAATGTCCTTCCCTGACTTTTGTGAAACCATGTACCAGCCGTCATAATCCACACAGTACAGCTGGGGATATTATCGTCCAAGTTTCTGCCGATTTCAAGTGTCCATTGCATCACCCGAAGCCCAATTGCAGCTAGCTCATCCGTTGTTTCCGACTCGAACACTTCTTCCACAACCAATGTCGATATGAATTTATTGATACTGAGCCATTCTTGGGGTGACCAAAGGTGTGTCTTTTTATGCGGACTGGTCAAATCCGAGCCAAATCTTGATCTGTAGTCGAAGAACTCAAAAATTATCTCTAGAAATACCGTGAAGTATTCCACGGAAATCCAACCATGCCATAACAGGGTGGGCAAGCTTCACGCACATATTCTGGTGGATCTGGCTGCTGTCCAATAGCTTTCATGAGTAACACAAGACGCTCCATCCAAGGATGGCCAAAAGGCAGCTGAATTGCAATGTGAATTATCTCGCCAAAGAAAGTTGAGGATAACCTAGTGCAGAAAGTATTGTCTCGGGATCCTCTTTCAAAATGGTTCCACTCATGAAAGGTTCTAAGAGTTCCTTAGCTGCCATTTCTGGACTCGATGTTGATGCCAGGTAATTTTGAATAATTTCGAATGGCTTGTTATGCTCCAGCCAGTCATGCCCTGGATTTAGATGAGGCATGATGTGTTAAATATGAAGAAAATTGGCGTTGAAACAGCGTTCGTTCAGGGTGGATAAGGCTTCTTATTGTGCGAGCGCTTGGTAAAAGGGCGTTGGGAAATTGGACACGGGCGAACGGAGTTGAATAATGAAGTATTTTGGCAAGATGTAGGAGTGCCTTCGGTATTGCAAACACCATCGATAAGGATGGAATCCGAGCGACATGCTCCCTTGAGTATTTTTTGACCTTGGTGTTGGAACTTTACGTATAGCACAGCCCCAAAGTTCTTGGCAGTTGGTGATGGCACAGTAAGACATAATTACGAAGCCACTTTATTTCACATGCACAGCATAACGAAATCATCACCTCTAGCTCCTGGAAATCTTGGGGACTCTTCAACAAGTACTCCGTACTTTACATCTCCAGATACCAAAGATCTACGGCAAAAGACTCGTCCACGTTCTTGATCCACATAAAAAGTGCCTGAACTGTCCAGAAGATGCGTAGATATCTACGTACGGTATGTCGGGCTATTTTCAAATGTATATGCAATTATAGTTTCTTCGTTCCTATACTATAGACACATTGCTTCCTAACGAAACACAACAATCTATCCACTTCACTTCGCTAATTCTACGGATAGAAAAGGACAATGTTGGTTTGACTTATTCAGTCAAATGGGTGATGCAAAAGACCTATATTACTATGGTAATAACTAAGTCTCTGACATTGCATTGTCCGAGCAAGTGTAGCTAGCTAAGTCCCTACATACTTATAGATGCCATAGTACGCTATTCATAAAGGAGCGGAGCAAGCTAACAATCATTCACTATTATAAACCGACAGATAAAAAGAAATCCAAGTACTTGAATACCAAACAACATGACTTAATCAGACGTAGTATTATAGCAGGGGTTTATTGTGAATTGAGGAAGTGCTTACTAAGTAACTCGGTGGGATAAATATCCCCCATTCGAGTAAACTCCTGCATCAACAACACCACAGTTATCGTCACATCGCACGATTCTGGGTTCTTTTGACCCGCCCTCATACCCCTCTAGATAGTCTCGCATTAAGTTAGAAATGCCCCTGTACAGTAAGCGAGGCCTAGGATGCTAATACTTCTTCATGATACACTAAATGGAGCCTTCTGGTTGGTCTATAATGTGTGAGAAGTCCAAGCATTTGAAGCCAGCCAGCGATATAAGAATTCAACAATAAGCCTCTTTTGTGACGTGACGAATGGACGATAAATCCTCCATTATCCTAGTGGTTCCTGCCCAACATAAGAGATGTGTTCAAAAAGGCTCGTTTCCAAAACGTAAGAACTCGAATACTCGTACAGCGATCAACAAGACGATAGAATATGCACAATATGCATTACTCACCCGCTATACCATAACCACCAGCTCCCAGTATCTAGCTTCAATCAATCTAGAAATATCACTAGGTATTTCCTATTTTTCACCATCGAAAAGTTCGAATTTTCAAAGAGATACAATTGCTTTAAATACACAAATGTCCCTATGGGTTCTACATTGGACTCAAGTTTATTTTACTCGTATGAAGTAACATTTCAGGAACAGTATACAAAAAATGCAAGCCGTGTTACTTAACAATCTCCTAGCATATGAATATCTACCCCATTTTTATATACAAGAGCTCACAGAATCACAGAAAGAGATTCATACTTTGAACTCAGAACAGCAGGAACATCGTAGTGTACCTTAAGAGTGACAGAGTGAGCGCTGTGATCAAAGCCCTAGCTCAAAGGAGTCTTGTTCACATAGTAAGGATGTTAATTGAAGAAACTAAAAAGTAGAATGATAGAGAAATATTATTTCTACAGGAGCTTAAGATCTCCCTCTCTGGGTTAAGTTCAAATGGTTGATCTGTGGAATAGCTTCCCAGGCATCGCTATGCCAAAGAATTTTCATGTGGAAGAACTTGTAATTTCACACTTCCCCTGTTGTTTTTCCTTATTCAATAGAGCTTAAAGAGGTTTTTCTCACCAACCAACGTTGCATTCTAAAGTCAATTTCCACGGTCAAGCTCCCAATGACACGACACTGTTTACGATAAACCCTCTCAAGTCTATACCTCGTATATAAGCGAAATGTTGGTTGGAAGTTAGTTGGAAATGTTGGATCTCAGTTGGTCCCCCAAACACACATAATCTTCCACACATCTTCATCAATCTACCTCCATACCTCACTCCTCCCCCAAAAATACTCTCCTCTAAACATGCCATCCATAACCACAATCCTCACCTAATTCTTCCCACCCCCCGCCCCCCTCACGGAAACCACCCACCCTTCCCAAGCCGGAAAAGTCTTCATCATAACAGGCGGCAGCAGCGGGGTAGGCTTCGAGCTCTCCCAAATCCTCTACCAGGCCGGGAGAACAGTATACTGCATGTCACACCACTCCGGTCGAGGCCTCGCAGCAATCGAGAAGATCCAGAGTACCGTAAACACGCGAAGCGAACGAGTCTCCCCCTCGACCTCGCAGACCTCTCCACCATCGCACCCGCCATCACCGCCTTCCTCGCACGCGAAAAGCGGCTCGATGTCCTATTCAACAACGCAGGACGCGCTAGTATGCCCTTAGAATATAAAACCGTCCAAGGCCACGAACCACACTTCGGCATCAACTGCGCAGGAACATGGCTCGTAACCCACCTCCTAGCCCCCATTCTCCAATTAACCGCAAAAGTCTCCCCACCAAACACCATCCGCATAACATGGACAGCCTCCGTGCTCGTCGATATCATGGCACCTCTCGGCGGTGTCGTAATGAAAAACGTCCGCAACCCCTCCACAAACCGCCACGAACACTACTCCGCCTCCAAAGCCGGGAATTACTTCCTAGCCTCAGAATGGCATCGTCGCTTCGGCGTCTCAGGGATCATCAGTCTAGCGCTGAACCCAGGGAGTCTGAAGACGAATACGTGGCGCTCGACGCCGTGGTATCATTACTGGCCTTATTACTTTTTTCTTGGGGAGGCGCTGGATGGCGCGCGGACGAACCTGTGGGCCGCGTTTAAGAAGGGGATTACGAGTGAGGATGGGGGAAGGTATGTTGTTCCTTGGGGGAGGTGGCATGAGGATTTGAGGCCGGATGTGGTGGTGGGGTTGA